CAGTTGGTGGGTGTGACCCCTGCCTACTGGAATCTGGAGGATCCGGGTGGAGGATGCTCAGCTCAAAGACTATATATATATATATATATATATATATATATATATATATAATTGTAGCACTGTCCTCCCGTTGTTCATCGATTTGCTCAAGAGGGCACCAGTAACGTCTCCATTGTGAGACTTGTTACTGTTTTTGGCATATCAATATGCCACGAGGAGCTGCCAGACTCTGCCGTGCTGACAGGATACTCTCGATAGCTTGCCGAGCTCTTTGAGAGGGATGGAAGAATCGAACCCGGATTGGCTGAGTGTAAAGCAAATGCCCTACACTCTGTGTGTATAATATATATATATATATATATATAAAATTTAGAATTAAAAACCAAACAAAATAGTGAGCCTCTCGATCAATGTTTAGAATCTTCCCATTTTCCCACTGGTGCTGGAAAACTGTGCAGTGCTTAGGATAGAAACTAAAGCTTTGAGCATGCCATGCCTACACTCCAGTTTCTTGAGTTACTTTTCAGACCCTTCAGAATGTAAAATTTCAAAGAAAAGCACAAGAATTTTGAATGATGAAATGAAATAGGAGTTTAAAGAAAATAAGATTTTGAAAGACCATAAACATTTCAGATGAGCAACAGAGCATCAAATTAAATAACAAAGTGAGGCAATGGCAGTCAGAAATAAATGTCAACAACCTTTAGCAGAGATTTGAACAACTCCATCCTAAATTGTGTGTCTGGTTAAAAAAACAATTAAAATAAAAAAATAAGACCCCGGGGGTATGGTGCCGCCAGCAGGTCAATCTGTACCTGTGAGGCGAGTGCATCAGCAGCCTCATGGCGCCTTCAGACTTCCAGATACCCCAAAATTGCTGCTGTGCTTTTGGCCAGACCCCAAAAACTTGGGGCAAAGTTTACCAAGAAAGTAAACGGCCAAAAGTTAGGTGTGTGGGAAACACACCCACAAACCACCTCCGGCTCAGCTATATAATTGGAGGCAAGGCCTCTTTGGTTCCTGATTGAACTGCTTAATGGACATGATCCCAGAGACTCAGAAACGAATCTCAGAACCCAGCGGCTTTAGGTAGAAATGCGTCTGGTCTCTGCAGTAGGTTACCGGTGCTGGGCCAACCCAGGTGGGAATAGGTTTCGTGCCTTGGCCTGTTCCCCCTGGCGGCCCAGTGGCCGCCATCCATCTGAGGCCACTGGATAGTCACATTTGGGACCCCAGTGATGAGACACACAGGGCCTCACGGGATGAGGGTGGAGCCGGGCTTGTCCTCCCCACCCCAACGAGACCCCAAGTCATCGCTCACGAATGGCCTCTCTGGCTCCTGATCAAGCTGCTTAACGGCCATGATCCCAGAGACTCAGAAACAAATCTCAAAACCCAGTGGTGTTTGGCAGAAATGAATCCGGAGTCCACAGTACGTTACTGTCGCTGGGCCACCCCAGGGAGGAAAGGGTGTTGTCCCTCCGCCTGCTCCCTCTTGGCGACTTGGTGGCTGTCATCCTCCAGAGGCCATTGGACAGTCAGGCTTGGGCCCGCAGTGACGAAACTTGTTGGGTCTCACGGGATGGGGCGGTAGGTGGAGCCGGGCCTATCTTCCCCACCGCAATGAGACCCCAAGTCATCGCCCACGAATGGCCTCTTTGGCTCCTCATCAAGCTGCTCAACGCCATGATCCCAGAGACTCAGGAGCAGATCTCGAAACCCAGTGGCTTTTTGCAGAAATCCCTCCAGATTTAAGTGTTAAAATTTCAGAACTTCAAAACCACATGGCCCTACTGCAGCCACACGACATCATATGTTATTCATAACCAGCAATAGAACACAAATTGTCTATTGTTGCCTTTTCAACAGATCTGAGTGTTGGGGTAAAATCTTAAATAATGGTGGGTCTGGTGTCGAAATAGTGAATGTGATCAAAGTAGAGAGAGAGTAATGTAGAAATCATCTACCCCACAGGCAGGGGGAGGGTGTGGGATGGGGGTGTACTGGGATTTTTGGTGGTGGAGAATGGGCACTGGTGAAGGTACGGGTGTTCCATTGTATGACTGAGACTTAGACCCAAAAGCTTTGTAACTGCTCTCACGGTGATTCAATAAATAAAATTATAAAAAATGGAAAAAGAAAAAAAATAAAACCCCATAAACAGCTTTTGGTTCAACAGAGTTCATGTACAAAGTCACAGAGAAAGTTTCAATGTTCTTCAAAGATCAACATTATCAACAGGAAAGAAAGTAACAACAAATAATCCAGATTAGAACCCTCCCATTGAAAAACCATTCCATTACAGAAAAAAAAAATCACCACGAAATTAAGATATAATTCAAAGGACTTACCCAAGAAAGTACCAGAAACACAAAGTGGCAAATATAGGTAAAGCAGGAGATAGGCCGAACTTATATTAGTAAAATATATACATCAGTAAGCAGAAATTGACTGTGGGATTAAAAAAGTTTTAGCTTTGTTGTAAAATGGAACCTAGAGGAAGCTAGTAAATTAACTCACAGGTCAGGACAAAGCTCCCTTTTAAGCTTTAAATTTTGCTGGTGGTTCAATGGATTTCTACAATATAAGGAAAAAAAATAGAAATATATTTAAGAAAATGGCCCTTACCTTTAAGAGACTCAAGCTAATGATATAGGTGAAATCTGTCCTTGGAGAGGGGTTTTCTCATACAGTTAGGCGACCTTTTTCCCAATATTTCTATTATTTGAAATAACAATGTGCATTTCTGAAGGAGTGGAAAGAATGAAAGTCTGCATCTGCTTACTACTACATTTCAAATATTCATCTTACATGATATATTTGGGCTGGAGCGATAGCACAGCGGGTAGGGCGTTCGCCTTACAAGCGGCCAACATGGCCGACCCGAGTTCGATTCCTCCGCCCCTCTCGGAGAGCCCGGCAAGCTACCGAGAGTATTCGATATGCCAGACACAGTAACAACAAAGTCTCCAATGGAGACGTTACTGGGCCTGCTCGAGCAAATTGACGACCAACGGGAGGGCCTTTACCTTACATGATATATTTATAGTCAATTTTTTATGTTGTCGATAATGTCTCCCCTAGGGTTCTAGAAATATATGCTCTAAATTCCCTAACTGCTACTCTATTGCAATTAATCAAGACACCCATCTTACCCCCAACAGATAAACCTGAATTTCTGCTGGGGGATTCAAGCAAATGAGTTTTCAAACTTTCTCTGTCTCTTTCTCTCTTCCTCTCTGTCTCTGTCTCTCTCTGTCTCTCTGGCCACACTCTGCAGTGCTCAAGGCTTAATTTTGACTCTACAGTCAGGAATTACTCCTTGCAATGCTTAGGGGACCCTATGGAATGCTGGGATCGAAACTGGGTTGGCCATGTTGCATGTGTCCTACCTGCTTTATTATCTCTCCAGTCCCCAAACTCATTTTGGAATTCTAAGGGCAACGCCAATCATCCCTGCAATACGGAATGGTTAGTAAGAAGCTCCAGTTTCTCCTTAAATCCCACCCTTGGAGCTTTCTCCTTTGACAGTGTCTGAGGACAACTCAAAATTGAGCAAAGAGCACAGAGTGCTGGAAGAAAGCAAGAATCTCACGGACGTGTCAGCATTCAAAACGTTCTAACATTCTGTCATGGCCGAGTCACTCTGAGACAGCGGACCTTACAGAAGATCAAGGACAAAGTTCCAACCGTGTGTACAGCAAACCGACAAACAGAGATGGTAGATGTGATTAAACAGACCCCAGTATCTATGAACATTTAGGGTGGGGGAGGGTGTTAGTTGACAGAATGATTCAACACTGTGATTTGGATGTTGAGGACAAACTCTATGCTAACTCCATGCTAACAGCTGCCTAATGTGTGTATAAGAGCTGGTCTCTTTGCAAACTTTTGGCAACACTTGATAGCTGAATCCGGTCAGAGTTAGATTCCTGACACATGGAGAAATTGGATGACGGATGATGTGAGAACCTGGAGCTATCAGATTAGATTTAACAGTGGAAAGTCCAAGTCCAGGACGCTGACCCTTGATCCTTGACCGCAATGCTGGGCGCCGCAACAAGGGGAATGGACTTCTCTCTGCGTGCATGTATTCAAGTCCCGCGGAAGCGGTGTGTGAGATGCTTAGATCTTGTACACGTGGATCTTAGAGAGGACAATCTCCTCTCCATCCAAGAGTTTATGCACCTACAAAGGGTGTATTTAAAAGTGGCTCAGGTGTAAAAGGGAGACTTCTGGTTTCCTGCAGGCTGCTGAACACTCCTGCTGCCTTGGTCCTTTGCAACCAGCCCACTCCGGCCCCAGGAGGACGGGGCCCAATGCCATCCGCACCCCAGAGCAGCCCCCGGGAGGTTTTCCAAGCGGGCAAACGCACTCGCTCGTCTGCAGATGTCACTGGCTTCAATGTGCTTAACACATGTCTCTCTCCCACCCGCCATGCTCGTGTCAGCCCAGCTTCTTGCAGAGACTGAGCCCGGGTCCCTTTGCTCTCCCAGAAGATTCCGGCCCTTCCCCACATCTGCCGGCCCGTTTAGAATTACAAAGGCACAGCTCGCAGCCCCCGCCGGGCCCGGGGAGCCGGCGCTGCCTTGGGAGCACAGAAGTTCCCGCTTCATCGGGCACCTCAAAGTTGCCCAGAGCACGAGAAGGAGTGGCATCGGGGGGTGGGGTGGGGGTGCAGCTGCAGGCTCCAAGGTCCCGCCAAGGTCATGCCTTTCTCGTGGGTGGGTGGGTGGGTGGGGGTCTTCCACACCTCCACGCACGCGACGGGCGTGCCGGGGTGGGGTTCTCGCAGGGCAGTGGGGGGCGACGAGCGGTGCAGGACAAAGACTCGGCTCCCCAGCCCCGTGGGTCTCCCCGAAACCCCCACTTTGCCCCGATCGTGGCCCCCGCCGGGGGTGGGGCCGCAGGGGAGCCGGCGGGAGAGCGCTTCCGAGGGCGCCGCGAGGGGAGGGAAGCCGGGCTCGGCCCTTTCTCTCACATAAGCGCAGGCAGAGGGCGCAGCAGTCATGCCCTGGCCCTGCGGCCGCGCGCCGGAGCCTCCCGAGCCGCCAACGCCGCCGCCGGGCGCCCCGCCGCCCTCCTCCCGCCCCCGGCCGCGCCGCCACCGCCTCCCGGGCCCGGCTCGGGAGGGGCCCGCGGGCTCCGGGGCGATCGGAGCGCCGGAACGTCGCGGGGGGTGCAGGCGTGGGGGCCCCCGAGCCCCGCTGTCGGCCCGGATGCCCGCGCGCCCCTGAAGCGCCCACCCGCACCCCGAGACCCCCCGCGCGCGGGGCCCCGGCCGCCGCCGCCGTTGCCGCCGCCGCCGCCAGGAGCCTCTCCGGGATTGCGCACGCCCCCCCAGCCCCCCGCCGCCGCCCCGCTGCCGCTCCGGCCACCATGCACTTGCTGGCCTTCTGCTCTCTGGCGTGGTCCCTGCTCGCCGCCGCCGCCGCCGCCTTCGAGTCCGGACTCGGCTTGGCCGACTCGGAGCCCGACGCCGGCGAGGCCCAGGTGGGTGCGCGAGGGGGCGCCGTCCGGGCGCGGGAGACCCCGGGGACCCAGGGGGACGCGGTGGGAGCCTGACTGCACGGTCCCAGGATCCCCCCCACCCCAACCCCAGAATCCTGCCCCGAGCCCGGGCTGCATCCGATTTTCCCCCGGCGGTGCACACAGGCTTCCAGGGAGAAAAGTTTTCTTGCACGCGCGCGCTCTCTCGCTCTCTCCTTTGACCAGGAGAAGGTTGTGGGCAAAGAGGAAAGCAAGTTGCACGGGCTGGAGAGCCTAGAAACGCGGCCAGTGGCAGCGATCTTTGAGGGGGCGCGGGAGCGTGGGACGGTGAGGGTCGGGGGTCTTGAACCCCGCTTATGCTGGGAATTCGGCCCGGGGAGAGCCTGAGCTCATCCTGGCCCCCAAGGGCTGTTATTTTATTTTATTTTTTTTATTTCCACCCCCTGCCTGGCTGATTTGTAGGACTGCAGCTCATTGCTGGGCTCTGCTTGCCTCTCTGTACCCAGACTGATTTCCTATTCCGCGGAGCACTGGGCGCTCGAGTTGCGCCTAGCAGAAAAGTTGCAAAGGAACTGGGGCGTCCGGGCTGTGCGGCGGAACCGCTGCTTGAAATCCTATACAGCCCGAGGTGCCCGGGATCTCAATTTACATCCTAATCAGGCGTGACTCGGGGGCTTTGTCAGCTCTGCGTTTCTGAAGTCGGCTCGAGGTGGGGTGTTGGTTGTGTTCAGTTTGATGTGAAAGAAGAGAGGTCGAACTCTTTGCCAAAAAGCAAGTAAGCAAAATCCAAAACGCTCTGCAGACGCTTTTGAAATACTCTCTGATTTTCTAAAAAAAAGGGGAAAAAATTTATTTGTTTTGTGCCTGCATCTTAATTAGGCTTCCATACCATCACCTGGTGGTTTGTTTCATGGAGTTGTTAAACCCAAGTTTTATTTTCCACCGCACCGGTCTCAGTTCAAACACATGTAGTAGCCTTTGGGGGAACTGAACAGGGTGGTTTATTTCAACTGATGGCAAGTGGAGAAATGCTAGTCGGTGGCTTCTCTCGATTCTTAGTCGACTTTATTAACATATGCCGAATGTGTAGAAATTCCTTTGCCTTCCCAGTTATATTTTGAAATAGGATTTAAGACAAAAGTCAAACGAAAACTTTTTATTTTATTTTATTTTTTTTAAATTTCAGAGGGGAGAGGCATTAAAATAGTACACGTGACTCTAAGTAGGGATCAAGATTAAGAGAACTTTTTAAATAAGAAATTCACTATGCAGTAAGTTGCAGAACAGTCATTTTACGTGAATTTCCCACAAATACATACATTGATAGTAATACCTCCCTACGGGTGTTTTTCTGTTCGGAAATGCCACCAGGAAGTAGAATCAGACCTATACAACCCTCCCCATAATTTGCAGATTTCCTTCCTGGTCTGCAAAGCGGAATGATGAAAAGTTAAGACTTAGCAAGACATCTCTATTGCCTGTGGTCACTTACTTTTGGTTGCAATAAGCAACTGCGAAGGAGGAAGTGAAAGAGAAACCTTCTGAGCTCAGCCAAGGGCTTCTATTTCTAAGTCCATCATTCACTGCCTGACCAGAGCTGGAATGCAGGTGTGTGTGCGCGCCTGGTGGGAGAGGTTAGGGTTAGGGGTGAGCTCTGGGCTGCTATATGATGTCTCCGCATGTGGATAAGGAATCAGGTGAATTTTTAATTTTCAGAATCGTTTTGTGGGTTGTATCCAGTTTTCTGTTGGCCAGGGAAATATGCATTGTTTCTGGCCAATCATAATTAGCCGTCCTGGATCTTCTGTACAGTGATCTTGCATCAATATCCTGGGGGTAATAGGAATTCTTTTCTGGTGATTTAAAACTACACAAGTTTCATAGACCGGCAGGTATGGTATTGTTCCCACTGAATGTTTCTCAGTGGTTGTCTAGAGCCTTGGCAGGGTGTGGAAGAAATTGGTAGATCCTTGTTAGAAAACTACCAAGATATTAGGTCCGAAGACTCACCATCTCCCTCTCTGCTGGTCCACCCAGAAGTATTCTGTAGCTGCAAGCACCAAAAGGAAACTGGATGGTTAATTCCTTGTGAACTGAAGAGATTTCTCTTTTTTTTTCTTTTTGGGTCATACCCAGCGATGCACAGAGGTTACTCCTGGCTTATACTATCAGGAATTACTCCTGGTGGTGCTCAGGGGACTATATGGGATGCTGGGAATTGAACCCGGTCGGCCGCGTACAAGGCAAATACCCTACCCTCTGTGCTATTGCTCCAGCCCACTGAAGAGATTTCTGAAGGTAAAAAGATCCAAATCAATGTTAATTTGAGTAGTTGACATATAAGAAATATTGATTTTTTAAAAATTTTATTTTATTGGTTTGGGGGCCAATCCCGGTGGTGCTCAGGGTTTACTTCTGACTCTTGCATTCAAGGATCACTCCTGCAGGCCTCAGGGGACCATAGGGGGTGCTAGGGATTAAATTTGGGTCAGCCTTACGCAAGGCAAGAACCTTACCCACTTCACTGTATTGTCATTAATAATATTAAAATTAACTGGCATACTGGAATAAAAAAGAAAATGCTTAAAACTATACAGCTTTCAAACTTTGTCCAGTTAAAGAAAATACAGAACTTAGAAAAAGCAGTTGACTGCTAAATGCAGCCCATACCATGATGGCATTAGGTGGAGTTCACACAGTTTGATTAGAATTGAAAAGCTTTCTTTCTAAGAGAAAAGTTAGTTTATGACTTTTGATAAAGAAAAAAAATTGCTACATGCCTTGAAGATACTGATGGGACATTTATTCCAAAAGTAGTTGGCCTTACAATAAAAGTACTAGATCATTACATATAGCTTTATATTAATAAATGCAACAAGCTTATATTTCAGATTACAAATTTCTTTCTTAAAGATTAAAACCAACAAAGGAAAGCTTTAAGATTCATAATCTTAGTGCATTAGGTGAATAATCTGAACAAGCAAAGATTATTAAATAGATATGATTATTCTTTGTTCTGTTTTAAATTAATTTAAACAGTTTGAATGTGAACGAATTTTAGCTGAAAGTTAACAGTGTTTTCTTTTTTTTTTGGAGAATGATTTTTTAAATTGATCTAGCAAAGGAACATATGGTTTATGATGACTTTTAACAAAAAACTTACTAATAATGACAGCTAGTTTGCAACATGCCAGATTTTCTTTCTCCATCATTTATAATTCTGCATACTTTAGTACTTGAGTTTTTTTTCTTTTTTTAATTTGCTGCTTCTAATGATTCAGGAGCAGCAGTGATTTTTTTTTTTCAGAAAAAACCTGTGCCAACATGGTGTCCTGTGAAAATGACAACGTACCAGACAGTGTGTCAGTTGCCTTGGAATTCCCAAGAAATCTTGATTAATTTTTCCCTTACCTGAAACTAACCAGTGTTCCGACTTGTGTGTGATAATACATATTTTTAAAGAGTACCCTTCAGTTATCTACGTATACAATGACAATTTTAGAACCACTGATCTGTGATATAATTTCATTGGTTTCATCATCTTTATTATCTAATTAGGAGTTTGCAATTAATTGTTTAATCATGAGATGTCCTTAAAGCATAGTGTTTCCTCTCTCAGGGAGCATGCAACTCAAGTGGAAAAAAAGTCAAAACTCATGGAACCAAGACTGTGAGATTGGTACCCAAGCATTAGTCTGTGCTCTAAAGTTTGCACAAGATAGGTCTCCTTGGGATATGGCTGGTCTGGGTAGCTTGCTTGAGTGTGGAAATCCGGTCAGAGTTAAGATGCAAATGTCTAGCGTCTAGGATGAGGTAAGAAGGTAGGAAGCAAGCAATTAAGTTTTGACTGGAACAGAGAGGAAATTCTTGGGAAAGGAAATGTTGCTGGGATTAGATGGGATGACATTGTATATGTCAAGAGCCAATAAGAAATTTGGATTCCTGCTATAGAGCCCTCTGGGATCCCAGTGATTCATGATCCTAGGGACATAGATAGAAAGAAAAGAGCTGAAATCATTTGATGATCAGGGGTCATAGAATTTGGGCTGGGAGCTTGGCCTGGTTAAGAAGCAGCATAAGAGTCTAGAAGGGAAATAATGAATAGTCAAACTGAATAGGTATTGATGAATAGGAAAGATAAGAGAGTGGCAAAATGTACCCTTGGCATCAGTGTTTAAATCAGGAGGGAATATTGGTTTTGGTGATATGATTTAGAGCATTTCGGAGAAGAGATGGGTTTGTGTGGGTGAATGGTGGAATGATGAAGGCATTATTTCACAGACCACTTAAGATTTTACTGGATCCAGGGACCTTTGGAGATTCACACAATAAACTTTAGAAATTTATATTCCACTAAAGAAAAAGAATTATTGAGGATCAGCATCACTTAAATTGCATTAATATACTTCAAGTATTTGAACATTTGACAAGTATTACTACAATCCCTGAGGGAAGATTAACGGTCTGAATACCATATTCCCAAGCATTAGGAATAAAAAGGGAGGCCAGAGTGATAGTACAGAGGGTAGGGCGTTTGACTTGCACATGGCCAACCCAGGTTCAATCCCCGGCATCTTATGTGGTCCCCCAAGCACAGCCAGAAGTAATTTCTGAGTGTAGAGCCAGGAGTAACTCCTGAGCATTGCTGGGTGTCACCCAAAAAGCAAAAAAATTTAAAAAAAGAATGAAAAGGTAAATTATCACTCAAGTAATATAGGCCATAAAAGCAGCTACAGTGCTTAGTAGTACCCTTTCTAAGGGATGCTTTTCTTAGTCTTCCTACTTTTTGGCTAATAGCCAACCATCAGTCTTTTGAAGGGAGATTCAATATTGGGGACATGAAAAATATTTAAGTGGAGGCCTTCGAACTCTTCCCCTCTTTTTTCACTCTGTATTAGTTTAAGTTAGAAGCTCAGGGTTCAACTTCCCTTTCTGACGGGGGCAAAGGCCTACATCTACAGGAAATTAGCGTCCTGTCCCCTTATTCCAGACATTAACATCTC